CAGTGCTTTCCAGTGCCCCCCATTGCCCCCCAGTGCTTCCCATTGCCTCCCATTGCTTCCCAGTGCTTCCCATTGCCTCCCATTGCTTCCCAGTGCCCTCCAGTGCTTCCAAGTGCCTCCCATTGCCCCCTACTGCTTCTCATTGCCTCTCATTGCCCCCCAGTGCCTCCCAGTGTCCCCACGTGCTTCCCAGTGCTCCCCAATGCCCCCAGTGACTATCATTGCTTCCCAGTGTTCTCCAGTACCTCCCAGTGCTCCCAGTGTTTCCCATTGCTTCCCAATGCCTCCCATTGGCCCTCAATGCTTCCCAGTGCCCTCCAGTGCCTTCCCAGTACCTCCCAGTGTCCCCACTGCTTCCCAGTGCCCCCCAGTGTCTCCCAGTGCCTCCCACTGCTTCCCAGTGTCTCCAGCTTCGTTCTATGCAGTGTCCCCCCAGGGAACCATTGGCCATCGTGGTCATCAGATCACACTGCTGCCTCAGTCAACTTCTGGTCAACTCTTGGTCACCCTGTTGGTCACCGTGTCGACCACCACTGGCTTTCATGGCCATCAGGGCACACTGCTGCCTCACGGTCAACTTCTGTTCACCCCTTGGTCAACCCATCGGCCACCACTGGCCCTTATGGTCACAAGGACAGGTTGCTGCCTGATGGTCACCCTGTTGTTCAACCTGTTGACCACCACTGGCCTTCATGGCCATCAGGGCACACTGCTGCCCGATGGTCACCGTATTGGCCAACTCTTTGGCCACCACTGGTCTTTGTGGCCACCAAGGCTCACTGCTGCCTCATGGTCACCCTGTTGTCAGTCCATTGGCCACCACTGGCCTTCATGGCCATCAGGGCACACTGCTGCCTCACGGTCAACTTCTATTCACCCCTTGGTCACCCTCTTGGTCAACCCTTGGTCAACCCATCAGCCACCACTGGCCCTTGTGGCTACCAGGACACATTGCTGCCTCCTGGTCACCCTGTTGTTCAACCTGTGGACCACCACTGGCCTTTGTGACCATCAGGACACACTGCTGCCTCACGGTCAAGTTCTGTTCACCCCTTGGTCACCCTGTTGGTCAACCCCTGGTCAACCCATTGGCCACCACCGGCCCTTGTGACCACCAAAGCACACTTCTGTCTCACAGTCCCCCTGTTGGCCACCAGGACCCCCATGCCCTCCTCCCCACAGCTCCTTTCCCACAGCTCAGCCCCTGATCCTCACATTCCCTGTGTTTCCTGATGGCTCTCAGCCCCACAGGCCACTTGTCAGTGTCACCACCCATCACGAGTGCTCCGGGCCCGGGGGAGGAACACTGGGAGGGAGCCCAGTGAGAACAATTCCAGGCATTGATGCAGCAGGGCTGCGTGCTGGGCTTTGATGTCAGCGCTTCCTTCCTGCCCCTGGCGCAGCCAGCTCTCCTGGCACAGCCCAAAATGCTGAGCATGGGGAGAATGTTGGGGGGCTGCAGTGTGTGCCGTGGTGACAGGGGGTCGTGGTGGTGTTGGGGTGGCAGGGACACTATGGTCATGGTGACACTGGGGCCACGTTAACATTGGGGTCATGGTGACATTGGGATCATGGTGACATCAGACTCACAGTAACACTGGGGTCATGGTGATGTTGGGGTGGCAGGGACACTGTGGTCATGGTGACATCAGGGTCATGGTGACACTGGGATCACGTTAACATTGGGGTCATGGTGACATCGGGGTCATGGTGACATCAGGGTCATGGTGAAATTGGGGTCGTGGTGACATTGGGCTCACAGTAGCATAGGGGTCCTGGTGACATCAGGGCCACAGTGACATCGGGGTCACAGTGATGTCTGTGTCGCAGTGGCACTGAGGTCACGGTGACATTGGGATCAGTGATTTTGGGGTCACGGTGCCATCAAGGTCACAGTGACATCAAGGTCACAGATACATGGGGGTCACAGAGACATTGGGGCTGTGGGTGACATCGGGGTCATGGCTACATTGGGGTCACAGCTATATAGGGGTCGTGGTGCCATTGGGGTCAGGGTGCTATTGGGGTCACAGTGACATCAGGGTTGTGGCTGACATTGGGGTTACGGCTATAGAGGGGTCAGGGTGCCATTGGGGTCGTGGTGCCAATTGGGGTCACAGAGACGTCGGGGCTGTGGGTGACACCGGGGTCACGGATACATCGGGGTGGCGGCTCTGTAGGGGTGGCGGAGCCGCTGGGGTGGCGGTCGGGCAGGGAGTGCAGGGCGTCTGAGGGCAGCGGCTTCCTTCTGTCCCCACACGGAGAACACCGAGTCCCGCGGCACCGCACGGAGCCCCGGAGCCCCCGGGACCCCCCGCCCTCTTAACGACCCCCCGCGGAGCCCCCCGCCCCTCCACAACATCCTCACGGGCCCCCCGGTGCCGCCCCCTCACACCCCCCGCCACCCCACAGCCCTCAGGGACCCCACGGCGGTCCCCCCCCATGTCCGCTCACCGCCGCCCCCGCTCCCGCCCAACGCCGCCGCCGCCACATTCTCCGCGCCGGCCCGACTGCGCTCGGAAACGCTCGGAGCACTTCGGATACCGGAACTCCATTAGGGAGCGCTCGGCAGCGCTCGGGTCCTTTCGGACCCGCTCGGGTTCACTCAGCGCCGCTAGGCTCGGGAGCGCTCGGATTCGTTCGGAGCCGTTCGGCTCAAGATCGCTCAAGTCCCTTCGGCGCCTCTCGGTTCGGCAGAGTTCGGCACATCTCGGCTCGGGACCGTTCGGGTCCGTTCGGCACCACTCGGCTCGGAGCCGCTCGGGTCCGTTCGGACCCACTCGGGTTCACTTAGCGCCTCTCGGCTCGGGAGCGCTCGGCGCATCTCGGCTCGGGACCGTTCGGGTCCGTTCGGCACCACTCGGCTCGGAGCCGCTCGGGTCCGTTCGGACCCACTCGGGTTCACTTAGCGCCTCTCGGCTCGGGAGCGCTCGGCACCTCTCGGCTCCGGACCGTTCGGGTCCGTTCGGCGCCGCTCCGCTCGGTAGAGCTCGGGTCCATTCAGAACCACTCGGGTTCACTCGGGCTCGCTCGGTTCGGGAGCGCCCAGCACCTCTCGGCCCGGGATCGCTCGAGTCCGTTCGGCGCCGCTCGGCTCGGGACCGCTCAGGAGTTCGCCCGGAGCGGCGTCTGGCCGCCGCGCAGCGCGGTTCTATTGGGGCAAAATGCCTTTTTTGGGGGTTCTGCTACAATTCCGGCCCTTTTCCACCAAGAAAACATTGGTTTTCCGTCACCTCAGCGCCTCCCGCTGAACTGTGGCTGACACTTCCTGAGAGCTCACACCGGAGAACTCCGCCACCCCCAGAAAAAAAAAAAAAAAAAAAGAAGAGCATCCTCCCAAAAATGCCCAAATCCCCCAAAACTGTTCCCCCAAACGCCCAGCCGGCAGCGCAGGGCCCTCACCCATCTCCGGGGCGCTGTGGGGCTCCGTGCTCTGCTCCCCAGCCATGGTGCTCCGCGTCCCCGCTGTCCCCACCGCCCTATAAGTGCTGTCCCCACCCGTGGGCAGAGTCCCCAGTGGAGCACAGGGCCACCTGCTGCCCCCCGAACGGCTTTGATGTGCGTCCCGATGGCTCCCGGCCCCTTATCGCCGCTGTCCTCATTAACAGTGCAACCGCAATTAGCGCAGGGTCTGGACTCTGCTCCTCCACACTGTTACCCGATTACCCCAAACGGGCACTGCTGCACGCGGCGCTGATAATGCCTTATCGGGATCAATGGGGCGGCTATCGGTGACCCGAACCCCACAGCTGTGGGGCTGATAACCCCCGGCTCCGGGACAGGCCGAAAGGCCGCGGTGCCGTTTGATAAAGGAGAGTTGAACACGCGCCTGCAGGCGGTGGACACGTATGGGGAGCAGAGTGCGTGACTGTCCCCATGTGCTGGACTGGGTTGGCATCGGGTGGGGAGCGGCGATGTGGGGCAGGGTGGAGCTGGAAGGGGGGCGGGGGAGCCAGGGGAGGCTGGTGGAGAATGAGGTCATGAGGCAACAGTGCATCATGGTGGCTTAAAGCATCATGGCGTTGTGGCTGACTGCTGGTTCGCCATGAGCCAGCAGTGCGACCTGGCGGCAGGGAGGGTGACAATGTGCCTTCGTGGCCAAGAGGGCCAATAGGGTCCTGGTTGATCCAAAAGAGTGACAATGAGCCAGCAGTGTGACCTGGTGACCAAGAGGGTCAGTGGGATCCAGATGTCCAATGGTTGGCCAAGAGGGTGACAATGAGCCAGCAGTGTGACTTGGTGAGCAAGAGGGCCAATAGGGTCCTGGTTGGTCAGTGGTTGACAAAAAGGGTGAAAATGAGCCAGCAGTGTGACCTCGTGAACCAATGGTGGCCAACAGGTTGACCAAGAGTTGAGCACAGGGTGTTTGTGAGCCAGCAGTGTGCCTTGCTGGCCAACGGTTCCCTGTGAGGCACTGCACAAAGCACAGCCAGCAGGGCAGGGAGGAGCTCCCCGCTCTGCTCTGCACTGGGGAGCCCAATCCGGAGCACTGGGCCCAGTGCTGGGCTCTCTCCCCAGTTCGGGGCAGACTGAGAGGTGCTGGGAGCCCCGCGGGGGGTGCAGAGCTGTGGGGGCCCAGAGCCCCTCGTGGTGGGGACGGGCCGAAGGCCCCGAGACTTTTCCCCTGGGGGAGAAAACGAGAGGGGGGCTCTGAACAGCGCTGATCCACACGCGGCGGGGGATGAGGCCGCGCTCTGCTGGGAGCTCCGTCCAAAAAACCACTCCGTTCGGGGCCCCATTCTAAGATGGAGGCCGCCATGCCTCCCATTGCCACTTCCGCCCTCATCCCGCAACCGTTTCCTCTTCCGGTCACGTGCCCCCCCCCCCCCCCCCCCCCGCCAAGATGGCGCTGTGCAGGATGGGCCGGTGCGGGGCGGAGCGGCTATGGGGTCCCGTTCCGCCCCTCCTGGCGGCGCTGAGGTGAGCGGGGCCGAGCCGGGGGCGGCTGCGAGGTCGGCGGGCCGTGGGCCGTGGGCCGTGGGCCGTGGGCCGTGGGCCGTGGGCCTCCCCTCTACCTGCGGAGCGCCGGGACCGAACGTGGAGCTCCACGGTCGCTCCCCAGGCCGGGCCCGCAGCCCACGGGGGCGCCTGGAGCGGTTGTGGGGCTTTCTGAGATCTTCCTTCCCCCCTCCTCCCCCCACCTCCGGTGGTCGCGGGCCGCTGCGCGCGCTCCCGGTGCCGCCCTCAGCGCCGCAGTGCTGTCGCCCATAGACCCCTCCAGGCCCCACGATAATGGCCCCCCAGACCCCCTGTCCCAGGCACAGAGCTCCTGGGTAGAGGCCATGCAATCCCCCCCCTTATCCCCTCCCCCGCTCTCCTCTCCCCCTCCAGACCCCCAGTATTGGCTGAGATCTCCAGGCAGGGGCTGTGGACCCCCCTCGGACCCCTCACGTAGCAGATGTAGATCTCCAGTTATTGGCTGAGTCCTCCAGGTGTCACCTGTGGATCCCCTTAAGAGCTCCCAGATTCACTTGGCCCCCCAAGTACCAGATGGGGACCCCCAGTTATTGGCTGAGACCTGCAGGTATTGTGTGTGGACCCCCCGAGCCCCTAGCTGTAGACCCCCTGGGGCCCCCATTTTGCAATCCACACATCTCTCTGTAATCCTGAATATCAGACCGCGACTCTCCTCGGAAGGAGCAGAGCCGAGAAACCTCATTAACAGATGCCTAATAGACCTCATTAACCCCCTCCTTCCCCCTCAGGCCCCCTCCGGTGCTCTCCCTGCCCACCAAGGCGAGCTCCCGCTGGGCTCTGGGCGCTCGGTGGCTCCGCAGCCGCTATGAACGTTTCTTGCAGCACAGATTCCCCCGCCTCTACGCTCTGCACTCTGCCTTCACTGCAGGTAACAATGCTTTGTGGGGAGGGGGCTTCGAGGGGAGGGGGCTCTGTGACTCGCAGCTATCGGTTAGGCCCCACCAGACCCCCCAGGTATGAAAAGAAGACTCCCATTATTGGCTGAGACCTGCAGGGATTGCATATGGACCCCATCCAGGCCCCCAGCTATCAGTTAGGCCTCCCCAGACTCCCTGATATCCATTGCTCTGAGAACCCCAGGTATCAGCTAGGCCCCCCACCTGTTGGTTAGGCCCCACTAAACCCTCCAGGGACCGGATGTGGACTCCCAATTATTGGCTGAGACCTGCAGGTATTGCGTGTGGACCCCCTCCAGGCCCCCACGTATCAGTTAGGCCACCCCAGACCCCCTGATATCTATTGCTGTGAGGGGAGGGGGCTCCAGGTATCAGCTAGGCTCCCCCAGGTATCGGTTAGGCCCCACCAAACCCCCCAGATACAAAATGAGGACCCCCAGTTATTGGCTGAGACATGCAGGCATTGTATGTGGATCCCATCCAGAACCCCAGCTATCAGTTAGGCCTCCCCAGACCCCCAGGTATGCATTGCTCTGAGGGAGGGGGCTCTGAGACATGCAGGTATCAGCTAGGCTCCCCCAGCCCCCCAGGTATCAGTTAGGCCCCACCAGACCCCTCAGGTACGAGATATGGACCCCCCAGTTATTGGCTGAGACCTGCAGGTATTGTGTATGGACCCCATCCAGACCCCCAGATATGTGTTGCTCTGAGGGGAGGGGGCTTCGAGACCCCCAGGTATCAGTTAGGCCCCTCCAGACCCCCCAGGTACGAAATGAGGACCCCCAAATATTGTTTGAGACCTGCAGGTATTGTGTGTGGATCCCGTCCAGATCCCCAGGTATCTGTTAGGCCTCCCCAGATATCCATTGCTCTGAGGGGAGGGGGCTCCAGGTATCAGTTAGGCCCCTCCACGTGTTGGTTAGGCCCCTTCAGACCCCCAGGGACCAGATGTGGACCCCCAGTTATTGGCTGAGATCTGCAGGTATTGCATGTGGACCCCATCCAGAAACCCCAGCTATCAGTCAAGCCTCCCCAGACCCCCTGATATCCATTGCTCTGAGGGGAGGGGGCTCCAGGTATCAGCTAGGCTCCTCCAGCCCCCTCCCCCAGGTATCAGTTAGGCCCTACCAGACTCCCCAGGTACGAAATAAGGACCCCCAGTTATTGGCTGAGACCTGCAGGTATTGTGTGTGGATCCCCTCCAGACCCCCAGCTATCAGTTAGGCCTCCCCAGACCCCTGATACGCATTGCTGTGAGGGGAGGGGGCTGTGAGGGGAGGGGGCTCTGCTGGTGCCACGTGTGTCCCTCAGGGCTCGAGTCGCTGCTGGCTGACGCCAGGGAGGTGCGACGGATCCGACAGGCAATGGCCCGGCATGGGCTGAGCGCCGCGCAGCTGAACTACAGGGACATGGAGCGGCTGCGGCAGGTGGGTGCTGCTCCGGGGGGCTGGGGGGGGGCCTTGGGTGGTGTGTGGGGGAGGGGTGTGGGGGAGGGCGCCAAGGGGGGGGCTTGGATGGTTCGCGTCCCTCTGATGGCGCTCTGCAGTTCCGCAGGGATGTCCTCAAGGCCGTCCCCGTCGCTCTCATCGCCATTCCGCCCTTCGCCAACTTCCTGGTCCTGCTGCTGATGTGAGTTGTGTCTCTCGGTCCCCTCTGCCTTCTCCCCCCCCCTACCAGGAGCATCCAAAATGGTTCCCCCTCTTTCCTCCCCCCCTCCCATCCCCCCCAGGATCTCTGTGCTGACGGCGCTCCTTCCAATTGCGGCCAATTGGTTCTGGAGCTGTGAATACAACTGGAGAGTTTAATGGGCTCCCCTGTGCCCCCCCTGCCCCTCCTGTGCCCCCTCACTGTCCTCCGTGCCCCTCTTGTGCCCCTCTCTGACTCTTCTGTGCTCTCTGTACCCCCTCCTGTCCATCCTGTGCCCCCCTATCCCCTGTGTCCCCTCTGCTCCTCCTGTGCTCCCTCTGCCCCCCCGTGCTCCTCCTGCCCCTCCTGTCCATTCTGTGCCCCCCCCATCCCCCGTGTCCCCTCTGCTCCTCCTGTGCCCCTCCTGTCCATGCTGTGTTCCCCCTGCCCCTCCTGTGCTCCTCCTGTCCATTCTGTGCCCCCCCATCCCCCGTGTCCCCTCTGTCCCTGCCTCTCCTGTCTATTCTGTGCTCCCCTGTCCCCTCCCTGCCCCCCTGTGCCCCTCCTGCGTCCCTCCTGTCCCCTCCCTGCTCCCCCCGCCCCTCTTGTGCCCCTCCTGTGGCATCCTGTCCCTTCTGGGACTCCCCCCTCACTCCCCCTGCCCTTCCTGCCCCCCTCCTGCCCTCCTTTCCCCCCCCCTCAGGTACTTCTTCCCACGGCAGCTCCTGATCCGCCACTTCTGGACGCCGCGGCAGCAGCAGGAGTTCAGTGAGGAGAACCACAGCGCCCGCCGTGCTGCCTACCCTGCAGTGCTCAGCTGCCTGGACGCGGCTGCGCAGTCCCTGCCTCAGCAACAGCTGCAGCGCCGCCTGCGGGAGCTCTGCGTCGAGGTGGGCTCTGCACCCCCTTCTGCATCCCACCCTCATTTCCATCCCCATCCCGCCCCCTCCCCATCCTCATCCCCATCCCGTTATCGATCCACCTCCACCCCCCTCCCCATCCCTGCTCTCATCCCTTCCCCGTTATCGTTTCCTACTTTCGCCCTCATCCCGCCCCGTTCCCATCCATTTCCCCATTCCTGTCCCATTATCAGTCCTCACCCTCAGCCCATTCCCACCCTCATTTCCATCCCTTCCCTGTCCCCTTCCCCATCCCACTTCCACCCCCTCCCCACCTCCATCCCCTTCCTCATCCTTGTCTCATTATCAATCCCCACCCCACACTCATGTTCATCCCATCTCCATACCCCCTCCCCTCCCCATTCCATCCCATCCCATCATCAGTCCCCATATCCATCCCTTCCCTTGCCCCCATCCCATCCCAATCCATTCCCCCCCATCCCAATCCGTTCCCCCCCATCCCATCCCTTCCCCATTACCACACCACATCCCACCTCCATCCCCTTTTCATCCCTTTCTCCATCCTCATCCTACCTCCTAGCCCCGTCCCAACCTCAGCCCCACTCCCATCCCATTATCAGTTCCCATCCTACTCCATCCCAATCCCGACCCCCGTCCTCATCACACTCCCATCCCATTATTGGTCCCCATCCCATCCCCAGTTCCACCCCCACCCCATCCCATCCCACCCCCTGTTGTGGCACTGCTGACCTCCTGGTTCTGTGCAGGTGCAGCGCGGCCGCCATCCCCTCGTGGCTGAGCTCTGCGCCTTGCAGCCGCTCTTCTCAGGTCCGGCGCTGCGCCTGGCAGAGCTGCGGGGAGCCCACGTGGTGAGTGCTGCGCGCCCCACGCTGAGCCCCACTGCCTTCCCTTCTTGCCCCAATGCGCACCCTGTGTCTCGTTCCATCCCCACGCCGTGCCCCGTTCCGTGCCCCATGTCCTCTCTGTGCCCTCTGTGCCCCATCCCATGTTGCACCCCGTGCCCCACGCCGTGTCCCAGTCCCGTCTCCTGCCCTGTGCCCTGTTCCATTCCATGACCCGTGTCCCACTCTGGGCCCCATCCCACACCCTGTGCGCCATCCCCTGTCCTGCTCCATGTTCCTCTCTGTGCCCCATTCCATCCACCCCCCCCCCCATGCTGTACCCCGTGCCCCACTCCGTGCCCCTCAGCGCCCTGCCCCACCTCCGTGTCCCAGTCTGTGCCCCATGCTGTGCCATGCTCACGTCCCACTCCATCCCCACCCCGTGCTGTGCTCCAGTGCCCCACTCTGTGCCCCACCCCATGCCCCACATCCCGCTCCACATCCCGCTCTGTGCCTCATCCCATGCCCCTCCCTGTGCCCCACCTCATGCCCTGCACCATGCCCCCTTCATGCTCTGTTCCCCTCCCTGTGCCATGCCGTGTCCCATCCCATGTCCTGCTCCGTGCCCGTCCCTGTGCCATGCCGTGTCCCATTCCATCCCCACTCTGTGCCGTGCCCCATGTCCTGCTCTATGCCTTGCTCTGTGCCGTTCCCTGTCCAATTCTGTGCCCACTGTCCCATGCCCCGTGTCCCATCCCATGTTCCACTCAATGCCATGCCCCATGTCCCAGTCAGTCCCTGCTCCATGCCATGCCTTGTGTCCCGTTCCATCCCCACCCCATGCTGCGCTCTGTGCCCCTCTCCGTGCCCCCCATCTCCGCTCTGTCCCATGTCCCACCCCCCCGCACTCCATGCCTGGTGCCCGTCCCCATGCCGTGCCGTCCCGCAGCGGGCGCTGAGCCGCGTGCTGTTCCTGACTCCTCTGCTGCCTGCCATCCTGGTGCGGCGCCGCCTACATTCCCACCTCCTGGAGATCCGGCACCTGGACCGCGCGCTGGCTCGCCTGGGCCTGGCACAGCTCTCCGAGGAGGAGCTCAGAGCGGTGAGAGACCCCCCGGCTGGGGGTTGGCGGGGGTCCCGGCCTCCTCCCTTGTCCCGCAGTTGGGAATTTTGGGTGCTGACCCCTTTCCTCCCCTCTGCAGGCCTGTTACCTGCGGGGCCTGAACCCCGCGCGGCTGAGCGCAGCGCAGTGCAGAGCCTGGCTGGAGCAGTGGCTGAGGCTGTCCTGTGTGCTGCAAGGTATGCGGGGGGGAGGGGGGGCGACCCTGCGCCACAGGGGGGTTGGGGGAGAAGGGGAGGGAGCTGTGTGTGTGTGTGTGGGGTGGGGGTCCCCCATCCCAGGAGGGGCTCAGGGCCGTGAATGAGGCCCAGGGTGGTTGCTGGGGAGGTGGGAGCAGCCCAGAGTGTGAGTTGGGACTGGAGGGGGCTGTGAGGACCCTTCCATTCCAACCATCCCCTGGTTCTGGGATCTTTCAGGGCCCTTTCAGGGCCATCCCAACCCAACCATCCCATGGCTTTATGATCTTTCAGGACCCTTCCAACCCTATCTGTGGTTTTGGGACCTTTAAGGACCCTTCCAACGCCACCATCCTGTGGTTCTAAGACCTTTCAGGACCTTCCCATCCCAGTCATCCCATGGAATTCAGCCTTTGTTCCCCCCCAACCCGCTCTGAGGGAGGGGATTCCTGTGGGTACAGACTGAGCCCCCCAACACAGGGGGAAACCAAACAGACCTGAGGGGCTCAATGGGGGGCACAGGACCCCCTCAGCCCCCCTCTCTCCCATTGCAGCCTCCGAGGCGTCCCTGCTGGCCAACAGCATGGTGCTGCTGTCCCTCAACTACGCAGGAGCGAAGCAATGAGCGGCGCTGATCGTCTGCTGTGGCGCTGCTCTGTGCCCACCACCCCTGGGGGGGTCAGCAGGAGCAGGACGGGAGGCACTGAAGAGTGGAGGATGGCAGCCCTGCGTCCCTGCACCCCGTCAGGGCGATGCCCTGCGCCTCTGTCCGTTCCCCTGTGGCCACTGCAGCACTTTACATGTTTATTGTGGGGGGAACGGGCGTCCCCCCACCCCGCGACCCCCCCAGCAGGGACTGGGCTCAGCTCTGCGCATCGCTGCTCCTCACAGAGGGTTTGGGGCTGGGGAGGGGACCCTGTGCTCCGCTCTGTGTGGGATCCAGGGGGTCACTGCTGCGCTGGGGGGGGAGGGCAGGGTACAAATGTCCCCATTCAGGATGCGGGGCCAATGTGGTGTTGAGTTCTGTGCTGGTGTCACCGAGTTCTGCGTTGGTGTCACTGAGTTGGACGTGGTGTCATCAAGTTCTGTACTGATGTCATTGAGTTGGATGTGATGTCATCGAGTTCTGCATTGGTGTTGAGTTTTCATGTGATGTCACCGAGTTTTGACTTGATGTCACTGAGTTCTCCATTAACCATCAAGTTCTGTTCTGGTGTTGCTGAGCAATTTTGGTGTTGCTGAGTTTTGACGTGACGTCATCAGTTCTGCTTTGGCATTGCTGAGTTCTGCATTGATGTCATTGAATTTGGACTTGATGTCCAGTCCCACATCAGCGCTGAGTTTTGATGTCCTCAAGTCCTGCAGTGGCGTTGAGTTCTTGGGGTTGTTGAGTTTTGCCTCGACATCACTGGGTTTTGCATTGGTGCCATTTTCTGCCTTGCAGTCATCGAGATTTGCCCTGATGCCATTGAGTTCCACATTGGTGTCGTTGAGTTTTGATGTGATGCCATCACATTTCCAGCAGTAGATTTCTCTGTTGGTTCCATCGAGTTCTGCACTGGGGTCACTGAGTTCTGGATGGACCCCATCGAGCTCTGACTCTGAACTCAGTTCTGCGTTGGTGTCGTTAAGTTTTGGTTGCGTTTGGTGCAGCGCTGTTGAGCTCTGCCCCTCTGCTCGTTAAGCTGTGCCTCGTTAAGCACCGTGCTGCTCTGCAAGGAGTGGAGCAGCAGCGTGGCTTGGCCTGTTGTGTGACACCACCGCTGGAGCGCCCCATCCTCAGCCCCATCTCAACCCCATCCCACCCCATCACCATTCCACTCCCACCCCCATCCTATTTCATTCCCAGCCCCATTTCATCCCTATTCCACCCACAATCCCATCCCCTCCCCACCCCCATTTCATCCCATCACCACCCCCATTCTATTCCATCCCCACCCCATCCCAACCCCCTTTCCATCCCTATTCCATCCCATCCCCAACCCCATCCCACCCCCATTCCATCCCCAGCCCCATTTCATCCCTATTCCACCCCCATCCCATTTCACCCCCAACCCCATCCCATCCCTCTCCCCTCCCCAACCCCTTTCCATCCCCTCCCCACCTCCCTCCCATCCCTCTCCCTATTCCATCCCACCCCATTACCGTCCCATCTCCATTTCATCCCTATTCCACCCCCATTCCATTCCACCCCCATCCCCTCCCCTC